AGCTAGGAAGTATTCCATCCTCTTTAATTTTCTGAAACTGTTTATATAGAATTAAAATTATTTCATTATTAAATGTTTGGTAGAATTCAATAGTCAGGTCACCTGAAATGTTCTTTTTGCAAAGGTTTCTAACTACACATTCAATTTATTTTGGAAATACATGACTATTATTAATAGCGTTATCTACTTATTCTTTTTTTTGTTTGTTTGTTTTTTGCTTTTTTTGAGATAGAGATTTGCTCTGTCACGCAGGCTGGAGTGCAGTGGCGCGATCTCGGCTCACCGCCACCTCCACCTCCCAGGTCCAGGCAATTCTCCTGCCTCAGCCTCCCCAGTAGCTGGGGCTGTAGACGCAAACCGCCACACCTGGCTAATTTTTGTATTTTTAGTAGAGGCGAGGTTTCACCACGTTGGCCAGGCTGATCTTGAACTCCCGCCTCCGCGTCCCAAAGTGCTGGGATTACAGGCATGAGTCACTGTGCCTGGCTAGCTTTATCTATTTGTCCTTTTTTTATTGTTTTTTATTTTGTTTTGAGACAGAGTCTCACTCTGTCACTCAGGCTGGAGTGCAATGGCACAATCTTGGCTCACTGCAACCTCAGTCTCCCAGGTTCCAGCAATTCTCCTGCGTCAGCTTCCCAAATCGCTGGGATTACAGGCGCCTGCTACCATGCCCAGTTAATTTTTAGTGTTCTTAGTTGTGACAGGGTTTTGCCGTGTTGGCCAGGCTGGTCTCAAACTCCTGACCCCGGGTAATCCACCCGCCTCAGCCTCCCAAAGTGCTGGGATTACAGGTGTGAGCCACCTTGCCCAGCCATCTTTTTGGTTTTTTTAGAGATGGAATCTCACTTGGTTGCCCAAATTAAAATGCAGTGGTGCAATCATGGCTCACTGCAGTCTCGACCTCCCAGGTTCAAGCAGTTTTCCCACCTCAGCCTCCTGAGTAGCTGGGACTACAGGCAGGAACCACCATGCTTGGCTAATTTTTCAAAAAAGTTTTTGTAGAGACAGGGTCTTGCTATGTTGCCCAGGCTGGTCTTGAACTCCTCGCCTACAAGTGATCCTCTTGCCTCAGCCTTCCAAAGTGCTAGGATTACAGGTATGAGCCACCGCACCTAGCCCACTTATCATTGTTTTTGTGGCAAGATATTTTCAACTTACTCTCCTAGAAATTTTGAAATATACAATAATTATTATTAACTATAGTCACTATGCTGTGCAATAAATCTCAAAATTGTATTCCTCCTGTTTAACTGTAACTTTGTACCCCGAGACCAACATCTTCATCTCCCCATTCTCTCTCCCACCCCCACCCCCTTATTCCCCAGCCTCTGGGGAATTTTTAGTAGAGACGGGGTTTCTCCATGTTGGTCAGGCTGGTCTCGAACTCCCTACCTCAGGTATCTGCCCACCTTGGCCTCCTGAAGTGCTGGGATTACAGGCATGAGCCACTGCGCCCGGCCAATATTGAGCATTTTTATGAACCTGTTGATCATTTGTATGCCATCTTTTGATAAATGATTTTTTTTTTTTTTTTTTTTTAAGAGTCAGGGTGTCAGACTGCCAAGCTGCTGCCCAGACTGTACTGCAGTGCTGCAATCAGGGCTCACTGCAACCTCTAACTCCTGGCTCAAGTGATCCTCCTACCTCTGCTTCACA